CAATGGGCGAAGCCCAGTCACTATTGTGAACCTGGGAGATGATATTCAGCTCCTCTAATCTCCTCAATTCTGCCTCCACTCCAGCCCTTAGAGTAAAAGGCACACTTCTTGCTTCAAAAAATTTCGGTGTTGTTCCTTCCTTTAATTCTAAGGAAACTCGTTGTCCCTTTACAGTCCCTAATTGGCCATCAAACACTGGTGCATACTTTTCCTGTAATTCCCTAATCCAGTCAAGTCTGGTCTGATTTTCATTCAACACGTGACATGGATACTTATGCACTTGAGGCATCCCGAGAGCCCTTATCCACTCCCTACCAAAAAGTGGAGGTCCTCCATTCTCTAAGATATAAAGAGGTAGTTTCTTCTTACACTTGTTGAATGTAACCCACTGGTATTAACAGCTCTTTAGAATATGTCTGCAGTCTCGCTGTTGTCTGAATTATTGGCCCATGTATTTTAAGGCGTTTCCAGTCTGTCAAAGAAATCACTGATCCAGCTGCACCTCTGTCCAAATCCATAGTCAGTTCCTTTCCATTTACAACAACCTGAACTGTGAATGCAGCCAGATTAGAACCTATTTTATATATTTTTAAATTTCGGACAGGAAATTGTTCATCCGAATCCTCAGAAGACTCCTGCATTTGTACTCTATAGGCATTCTTTGCTCTGTCTCTCAAGCGATTACTGCCTCTCTCTGCTGTGGATTTACACACCCTTTGTAGGTGGCACTTGGCATCCTTGAATCTGTATGTAGTTGCAACATGTGTAGCAGCTCCGCAGCGATAACATTTGTAATGTGAATGTTCCTGTTTTGAAAGTCTCTTTCCCTGTGGTACACTCTGTGCTCTAGCATCTAATTGTAAAACTTCTAGCTCTGCCTCCCATGTGTTGTCCAGTCTGCTGTGTAATAGATTAGCATCCTTAGAGGCTTGTTCTATAATGCCTGCCATGTTCATTGCTTTTTTAAATGTTAAATCTTCTTCTATAAGCAGTCTCCTTAGCACTGTATTACTTGCAATGCCCATTACAAACTGGTCTCGCAGAGCAGTGGGCAGGTAGTCCCCAAAACAGCAGGTACTGGCGAGTTTCCGTAACGCAATGGCATATGTTGAAACTGATTCACCAGGCTCTTGTCTTCTTTTATACAATTTAAATCTCTCTGCTATCTCTAGTGGTTTTGGTTGGAAATGGCTAGTTAACAGAGTAATCAGACTTGCCAATGGTTTGCTGGCAAGTTTCTCTGGGTGTAAGAGGCTCCTTAGCGTATTATACGTTCTGGCTCCTATAACTGTTAGGAAAACAGTGACCTGTTTATTGTCAGGAATGTCATTAGCTGCGAAATATTGTTCAAGCCTTTCAACCCAAGAGGCCCATAAATGCGAGTCAGGATCAAAGTCCTTTATAGTGCCAATGGCTGCCATGTCAGTTTGGGTTCTACAGCCTCGTCGCCACTGTGATGTTTTGTACAAATCAGCCAATAATTCCTGTATAACGTACTCACTTTATTGATACATACATAGCAGGATCTTCATATTGCTACCTTGTTACACAGGGTTTCAAATCCCTCGAACATTCCACCAACTGCCAACAGTAACAGGAAGTAAAGAACCAAAAGAAAGGAAGTGCATCATTCACAGCCAATAACTGCCCAACTGCCCAATGCCCATACATCACAATATATACACTCACACACACACACACTCATACACAGCCCAACTGCCCAATGCCCATACATCACAATATATACATTCGCACACACACACTCATACACAGCCCAACTGCCCAATGCCCATACATCACAATATATACACTCATACACTCACACACTCATACACAGCCCAACTGCCCAATGCCCATACATCACAATATATACACTCACACACACACACACTCATACACAGCCCAACTGCCCATACATCACAGTACATACACTCACACACACACACACTCATACACAGCCCAACTGCCCAATGCCCATACATCACAGTACATACACTCACACACACACACACTCATACACAGCCCAACCTCCCATACATCACATCTGCATGCCTCTGTATTTATGTGTGTGCATGCATGTCTCTGTAAATATATACATATACACACACCCATGCACATACAACACATGTATGCAAACATACACACATACATGCACATACACACCATCCGGTTATTTATTAACTGGTAATTGTGAGAATTGATCAGGGTAATTTAAAATCCTACAAAGAAACTAGTCTTGTGCTCAAACTCCCATTACTTCTGGGCGGCAGCAATGACCATAGTACACATCAGCCAAAATACATATAGTAAAAACCAAAGGAAAAAGTTACCTGCCCGCTCATGGCCATTGGAGGTAACTAAAAACCTCCATCTGTTTAAAAATACATAGGGATGTGGAAAGAGCGCAGGTAACTTTTTTCTTTAATTTCAAATCCTATTTACAGAATGTTTCCAATTCTGCTGTTGGGCTAACGATTTCAGTTACTCTGGTGAATTCCAAGTTTCATAAAGTAATAAATAAAGTAATAAATTGTTAGCCTGACCCATAACCAGACATCCCAACATGCAAATATGCATTTAAGGGAGGTGGCTTCACCAGCTACTGTGCCACCATACACCCACACGCGTATTCCCCAAGAACGCCTAGACACACAGATACACTTACTGTCACATAAACACATAGATACACAGACTGGTACATGCACACATTCAGATACACACTGACACAGTCACAAATACACAGTGTGACAAAATGAACCTCGTCACGGGTGCTTGGAGGGGCCTGCTGGCCAGCCTCTTGCCAAAAGACTACGGGCCAAGTCAACAACCCATATTTTATTCCCCCTGGTTCCCCTGATTCGGCATTTTCCATGGAACCGAACGCATGGATCAAAACCGCGAATAGACTTCAGGGGGACTTAGCTGCGAATGCCCTGGAACTATTTTCGGCATGAAGACTTCACGGTTCCCAGTCGGTCCCCCAGCGGCACTTAGCCGTGATTCTGTTGAACTATTTTCGGCATGAAGACATGCAGTTCCCGGTCGGTCGTCAGCAGCACTTGGAACCATTTTGGGCATGGGACCATGCGTGCAGTCGGTAAAAACTATGACTTCCAGGAAATTCCTAAGCCCCTGAACTGATCTGGGTGATTTTTGGATATGTTGGTCACACAGATCAGGGCTATCAGGGGATGTATGTGTTTTGGGGTACTTTAGAGTCTATATAGAAATGTGTGTTTTTTTCTGCCCGGAGATAATTTGGTTAATACAGTATCTGACTCAATTATCTCCCAGGCAGAGGGGAGGGATTGTATGCTATGTGTGGTAGGCTGAACTTGATGGACGCAAGTCTCTTTTCAGCTATGTAAGTATGTAACTATGTGTGGGAGTCTCGTGCATTGAAATACTGTTCTCATTGGTCTATGAATTTTAACGCTTGGGATTATTTGGTAGCAGACTTCATACTTGGGGGAAAGAACACCCTTTGGTGGCGTAAACCCCTTAACCTACCCAGGGTGCAGCTACATTCATTTTTTGTCATTTATTGCTGAGTCACGGTGACATTGCATTTTGGGGACATTTTGTGGGTGTGTTTATGGGAGTGTTATGGGCATGTTTACTGTGTGCATATAAGTAGGCCATTGATCCTGGATTAAACAGATCACTTTACCCCTTCATGAAGTCGAGGCTCATGTTTGGGGGATTGGGAGCTATACTCACACTTATAACCACTGCTGCTTTTGGGACTTTGGAGATTCTTCACGGATGTACTCAGCTGGAGTACCGGGATCTGTTACAGGGATGTTTAGTGGACATCACATTTACTGCCAAGTAATTTGCTGAACAAGTAATTGTGGCATATTCGGAAGGCAAACAATGATTTATATCAGAATTCCAATCTGTTTTCTTTATTAGAGATAAACTGGTCAGTATGTTGAGGTGAGGTGACCGAATAGAAATGTGTTGTATTAAGTTTATTACCTATGAATCAAATTATGTTTCTATCAGTGTCTCTACATCTTCTAACATTTTTTGCTCATTGGTAGATTTAGAGACACACTGTCTATTTGTTTGGAATTGTGATATTTGTTCCATGCCCAGACAGGCCCAGATCAGGAAAATCGATTTACACCTTCTTGTGCCGAGTCCCCTCTTGGTGAATTTCTCTTTCCCAGAAGCAGTGACCCAGCCTGATTTCCATTTTCGCTACAGCTACTTGCAGAGACTCCAGACACCAATTATTTGTCAAGAAAAAAGAGCATGCTAATGAAACCCTGGACAATTTATTTCAAATCTGAAATTCCTATTACAGTTAATGTGAGTTTTCTCCAGGTCTTTACTGGCGGTAAGGCTGTATTCTCCTTCATTAAAGAAGTGATATCTGAACTCAGGAGACTCACAGTATATACTTTACACAGATTATACACCAAGCGCCCATTACGAATAGTTACAGGTCTGTCTACTAAACAGCAATCTGACTTAGAAAATATGAAATGAGATGGAACTAATATTTCCTCATTCAGATCTCTTGGTCTCAGTTTTAAAGGCCTGAAATCGAGTGATATAACCTCTAGGCGACTGCTTAGTTTCCACTATTAGAAACATAGAAACATAGAATGTGACGGCAGATAAGAACCATTCGGCCCATCTAGTCTGCCCAATTTTCTAAATACTTTCATTAGTCCCTGGCCTTATCTTATAGTTAGGATAGCCTTATGCCCATCCCACGCATGCTTAAACTCCTTTACTGTGTTAACCTCTACCACTTCAGCTGAAGGCTATTCCATGCATCCACTACCCTCTCAGTAAAGTAATACTTCCTGATATTATTTTTAAACCTTTTGCCCCTCTAATTTAAGACTATGTCCTCTTGTTGTGGTAGTTTTTCTTCTTTTAAATATAGTCTCCTCCTTTACTGTGTTGATTCCCTTTATGTATTTAAATGTTTCTATCATATCCCCCCTGTCTCGCCTTTCCTCCAAGCTATACATGTTAAGATCCTTTAACCTTTCCTGGTAAGTTTTATCCCCCAATCCATGAACCAGTTTAGTAGCCCTTCTCTGAACCCTCTCTAAGGTATCAATATCCTTCTGAAGATACGGTCTCCAGTACTGTGTACAAAACTGAGGTCTCACCAGTGTTCTGTACAATGGCATGAGCACTTCCCTCTTTCTACTGCTAATACCTCTCCCTATACAACCAAGCATTCTGCTAGCATTTCCTGCTGCTCTATTACATTGTCTGCCTACCTTTAAGTCATCAGAAATAATCACCCCTAAATCCCTCTCTATCAAATATTCTGTCTACTGCTTTTGGGTTTTAACGCCCAAGATTCATTACCTTGCACTTATCCACATTAAATGTCAGTTGCCACAATTCTGACCATTTTTCTAGTTTACCTAAATCATTTGCCATTTGGCTTATCCCTCCTGGAACATCAACCCTGTTACATATCTTAGTATCATCAGCAAAAAGACATACCTTACCATCAAGACCTTCTGCAAGATCACTAATAAAAATATTAAAGAGAATGGGTCCAAGTACAGATCCCTGAGGTACCCCACTGGTAACTAGACTATACGTCGAACATACTCATTTGACTATAACCCTCTGTTGCCTGTCACTCAGCCACTGCCTTACCCATTCAACAATATTGGAACCCAAACTTAAAGATTGCAGTTTATTGATAAGCTTTCTATGTGCAACAGAGTCAAAAGCCTTACTGAAATCAAGGTAAGCAATGTCTACTGCACCACCCTGATCTATAATTACCCAATCAAAAAAATCAATAAGATTAGTTTGGCATGATCTCCCTGAAGTAAACCCATGTTGTCTCTGATCTTGAAATACATGTGATTTTGGATGTTCAACAATCTTATCCTTTAACATGGTTTCCATCACTTTCCCCACTACTGAAGTAAGGCTTACTGGCCTATAGTTGCCCAACCCCTCTGTGACAAACTCCCCTTTTCAAGGGAGTTTGCCATGAGTTTTTAGAGGGGCTTGCTTGCCAGCATCTTACCCTGGGACTATGGGCCCTGTGAAAACCCATGTTCAAAAGTACTGTTTCTGCCCCCTGGAACAGATTCAAACATGTGGCGGCAGCCATCTTAAATTGTCCAGCAGTGTTTTGCCGTCTAGTATATGGAACTGTTTTCGGCATGGGACCATGTACACGGTGGGGCAAAAATAAAACTTTCAGGAATTTCCTGAACATATCCGGGTGATTTTTGGATATGTTGTTCACCCAGATCGGGGCTGTCAGATGATGTGACATTTTGTGAGGATATGTTGTATTTTGGGGTACTTTTTGGGGTTTGTAAAAATGTATTTTTTTTCTGGTAAAGTTAATTCAGTTAGTACATTGTCTTTGTTAATTGTATCACAGGCAGAGGGAGGGTTTGTGTACAGTAACTGGGAGTGTTCAAGTGTAAAACTCTGTTTTTATTGGATTGTGCATTTCATGTCCTGTGCCCCACAAGGTCCACGTGGGTGGTAACCTTGTGGGAAAATACTGTATAAAAGAAGCAGCTGTACCATTAAACCTTCAGTTCTACTTGACCCTCAACTCGCAGCCTTGACAGCTATAATCACTACAGGGATTGCTATGGTCTTCATACTCCCTTAGCTTCACTGAGCTCTTGTAAGAGCTTGTTCCTGTTCCTGCTTCACTCTCTGGGGAAAGAGAGGTTCACCCACTGGAACCTGGAGCCTTGTCGTAGGTCCAGGGTAGGTAAGAGACGGCGAGACCCCAACCAAGCTGCGGCAGTTCGTGGGGTCTGCAGTGGTTATGGTGTGTAGTGCGGTGCTGATGGTCCGTGGTGGGCACTAGGGGCATCCTTTCTACGGTTCAACCCTCAGCTAGCCTGGGGCAACTGTAACACCCTCCCTACTACCTTTCTTGTGAATGGGCACAACATTCGCTAACTTCCAATCTTCCGGGACTACTCCTGTTAACAATGATTGGTTAAATAAATCTGTTAATGGTTTTGCTAGTACACCACTAAGCTCTTTTAATAACTTTGGGTGTATTCCATCAGGCCCCATAAACTTATTTGTCTTTACTTTTGACAGTTGAAATAGAACCTCTTCCTCTGTAAACTCACATGTAACAAATGACTAATTTGTCCTTTTTCCTAACTAAGGCCTCTTTCCTTCATTTTCATCTGTAAATACTGAACAAAAATATTCACTGAGGCAGTCAGTTAGATCTTTATCCTCTTCTACATACCTTCCTTCTTTTGTTTTTAATCTAACTAATCCGTGTTTTACTTTCCTTTTCTCATTTATGTATCTAAAAAAAAAATATTTTTTTTACTGACTGTGCTATTCTCTCTCTCTCTGTGGGATTTGGAAGCTCTTATAACTTGCTCAGCCTCTTTCTGCCTAATCTTATAGATCTGTCTGTTTTTTTTTATTTTTTATAATTACTAAATGCTAACTGTGGCGAAACCGGCCTCGCCACGTGTCCTTGGAGGGGGCTGCTTGCCCGCCTCTTGCCTTTGGACTATGGACCAGACTTTATGTGAATGTGTTATACCCCAGATAGGAATCCCATGGAGCCCATTCGTATGAAACTGACTGTAAAGACTTTGGCTCCATGGCGATTAAACTGTATTTGTGTGGTCCGAGCGCCATTCACTTAATAATGTGCGCTCAGACCTGAGCTATCTTGGGATATGTGAAATGTCTGTGTGTTATGATTTCAACCCCACCCCAACCTATCTCCAGGATAGAAGACTCTGAAACTGGTTTGGGCCAGAAAGCCATGCTTCATTTAGTCACAAAGGACTTTTTACTAACTTTTGAACCCCTTGTCTGATTTGTGCCATTTTGAATATGTTGTTCCCCTGAATGGATTGATTGTGAATATGTAATTTTATGTGAATGTGATGTATGGTTTTGGAGTTATGAAAATTGGGTAGAAAGTATGTTTTAACTGTATGTATAATTGAGTTTCCTCTCAGGATAAGGGGAGGGAATATGTGGGATGTAACTGTGATGTGATTGGTTGTTTTATACCTCCCTGTGGGCGGTCCTGTATTTGCAAGACTGTAATAAAAACCAGGCTGGGTGTGCCAGCACCTGAGTTCCTGTTTTAACTCTCAAAGTGAAGTGTCGTCTCATTATTGGGGGAAGGATTCATTGTATGCTGTTCCAGTTTGACTGCTAGGAGAGTAAACCTATTCGTATGGTTCCTATTCAACTGTCTACAGCATTCATATGCTTGGGAGAATTTATTTGTTTCTCCGGTTTAGTGATTGTGGTGTCTGCCAGAGTGCTTGGAGTCCTCAGGAAGCGCTAGGAGCATCATTCAACGGAGGTACCCAGTCGGGGTGCCAGGCGATCCGTTACATTGGTGGCAAGCGGTGGGATGGCGTCCTAGTGCGAGGTAAAACAGCTCAGAGACACAGTCGTTTGGATTTACAAATTGAAGGCGACGCTAGTGTTTATACAGCTTCCCTGTCTACATAAAGATTTGGGAAAATGGGGTTCGTGGATCCTTGGGCACCTCGCACACCTGAGGAAGAGGGTGAATTGGACTGGAGAGATATTGCCCGGCAAGAACTATGGTACAATGCCCTGGAGGAAGTCCAGTATCAACGGCAGCAGCGCCTTCCTGGTGTCGCATACCGGTTGGAGGAACAGATGGCCTGGCGGATGCCGCTTCTGGGAGACCAACCCGGAGGGCAGCAGGTCAGACAACTTGAGTACCTCGTGGAAAGGGAACTGAGCCTTGACGCCTCATACCGGGCACTGTGGTGGTGCACTGTCCAGCCAGAGACATGGAGGGCAGAGGGCATCCAGCCAGAGGGGGAGAACTACACTAGCCCTGGCCTGTTGTGGAAGGCCTTAGCAGAAGACGTCGACTTTGGCAGTCCAGCAGAGTCACGGTACTGGGCTATTTTTTATTACCGGGGTGAGATGGTACAGGGCCCGAGATCTATGGGACTAGGACAAGACCTCCACCGTTTGGCTGCCATGGAACGACAGCTAGAGATGGACTATGTGGAACTACTAAACTCATGTCAGCCACAGGGCATAGACACAGAACAGGAAAACTGGCTGGGAGACCCAGACCTGCCAACCTACAGCTGGGAAAACGCAGCCGAGGTACCCCCTGCTTCACTACCAGCTGCAGAAGTAGGGGACCTCATAGACTGGTCCTGGGAAGACCCACAGATGGCAGGTGGAGATGGGATGGCGGTCTCTCTACCGGCCCTACAGGGATGCTGGGCGGTCAGCCCAGATCTCCAGCGGCAGTGTGTACCCCAGGGAGCAGAAGGTGCAGTCCTTCCTCCCCAGCGGCAGTGTGTACCCCAGGGAGCAGAAGGTGCAGTCCTTCCTCCCCAGCGGCAGTGTGTCCGGCAGGAAGCGGAGACAGTCGGTCTCACTCCCCAGCAGCAGGGAAATATATTAAAAGGGGAGACAGTTGGTCCCCCTCTCCAACAGCAGAGAGAGTGTCAGGGAGAGGAGCTTGTTATCCCCTCTCCCCAGCGGCTGAAAGTATATATGGGAGAGGAGCTTGTTACCCCCCCTCCCCAGCGGCAGCGTGTACCCCAGGGAGATGAAGGTGCCGTCCTTCCTCCCCAGCGGCAGTGTGTACCCCAGGAAGCAGAGACCATCTGTCTCGCACCCCAGCCGCAGGACAAAATATTGAAAGGGGAGACAGTTGGTCCCCCTCTCCACCAACAAAGAGAGTGTCAGGGAGAGGAGCAGGTTACCCCCTCTCCCCAGCGGCAGTCTACAGTTCAGAGAGAGGAGCTTGTTACACCCTCTCTCCAGCGGCAGCCTAACCCACCAAGGGGAGATGTTAAGCCCCACAACTATGCAGATGGGACCGTAGTCTCTGCACTTGCAGCCCCAGGGGCAAGGGCGGTCGGTCCTGTCCCCCAGCCACAGAGCAGTGTATCCAGAGGGGAGACAGTCGGTCTCCCCCTCCCCCAACCAGGCTCCAACCAGGCTACTTCAGTGGTAGCGCTGGCACCCGGGCAGAGTACCGCTGGTCTCTGCCCACTCAGCAACCCACCAAGGCAGTCTACCAGCCCCCCCGCACAGCTGTGGTGAGGCACCTGGACATGGACAAGTTGCTATTTTATCCAGGTGTAGTAACCAGTTATTGTGGGTGGGCTGTATTGCTGTTTGTGCTTCGTGGGTGGGTTGCTGAACTAACCAGGGCACTGACCGGCAGGAGGTCAGATACCCTGTTAGTTTGGATGGTAAAGGG